ATCTGAAAAATTCAAAATACAGTAAAATAGGTAAGATATTCGGTAGACTCTCATTTATAAACTAGCAAGTTTCCAAAGACTGACAGATCTGGTCTTTTAATCCATTTTCATGTGCATTTCCATAAACTAAATTTTTCACATTATGGACAAGACTAGCAAAATAAAATGAAGAAGGAAATAAAAGAAAAAATCAAAAACCAAAAAAAATTCTTTTTTTTTTCACGCAGTACTGTCATTCTGTAATATCTAATGTTACTTTCAGGATCTAATTCTGTAGCATTCAAGGACAGAATAGGCCATGAAATAAAGAACCTACTTTTACTCTCTTCAGTACACCCAAGGCATACAGCACATTTTCACACAGTGGCCAGTTCGAACACATACACCTCTTTCTGGCACACAGTGGCACAGTTCATGGTGGTACTACATGGTGTCCAGTAGATATTGAGAGACAAGTGCTTTGCACTGTCATGGATATTATTAATCATAAACACAGGTAACCTCTCTTGGACTAATGAGTGTAGAAGCCTTTGTGAAAAAGAAAAAAAGCATGATTTTAGAGCTCAGTTACTGTTCTTTCTAACTTACTCAGCAAAATTATATTTATCGTTAATTTGACACATTTCTTAGATAGATTTACCAAGTGAACCTCTTGCTAGACTTTTACCAACTGTTGATATTTGGGCAGATTTAAACAAACCAAAGGCATTTTCTTCACACATTTAGGACAGAATCATATTCAACCCTTGCACAAAGGATCAAATATAATTGATGAGCTGGACTTCTCTTTCTGCACTAGTCCATTCTACATATTTTGCACTTGCTACTAAATGTGTTGTCACTACTTTTAAAGAGACTGATGATCCATTTGGAATTCAGAATGTGTATTATAAGCACAGAGTGATTTATATATAGGTATGAAGGTGACATATTATGCCCTGAGGCACAAATGCCCAGCGAGATCGCTTAAAAAGGGGCAACTCATCTCTAAAGTTATCTAAGAGTGAACAGAGACCACTTTCCTTTTCTCAGATAAGATCTTTAATAATCTTCAACAATTTTTGAGAAGTAGACTAGACAAGGAAACCATGACAAATATAAAAATCATGTGAAGGTGACTTTGCAAACTGCATCAATCTTTCCTGTACCACTAACTGCAAGAAACTTGATTTTTTGTCATTCCCTTTTCTGTGCTCTTTCTTTTTGTACCTTTTTTTTGAAAGCAAAGAGATGGTGAACAGTGCAACTTTGCTAAATTAAGCAAAAGAAAAGCCCTTCTATATTTACATTTGGTTTGTCATATACTCCATTTAAAATCTAAAAGTGCAAACCACTCACATTTTATGCTTCACATCACTGTCAGCTTGAGTATAGATTTGCCTATATTGATCTCCATGGCAATTAGGAATCATATTGAATATAGTCATCTGACTAGGTTAACAATTGACTTTGCTGTCAAAAGCAGCAACATATTATCTGCATACAATATGATGTGTTACCATTTACTGCCTCAACTTGCCTGTTTTTGGAATTTCTTGACCATTTTTGTCAAGGTTTCCATTACTACATTAAATAAGATAGGTGAAAGGCAATCAATTGTTTACTGTTTTTTTACTAGGTGGAAAAAAATAGAAATGAGTATGAAGAAGTAGAAATTAAGAAAATTATTAAACTTGCACTAACACTGCATGTATCCTATGTACAATTGCATTATATACTTCCCTCCTTCCCCTCCTCCCCAGCCCAACTTCTCCATGAACACATGATAATCTAACAGAATTAATAATTTCTATTAGAAAATACAAAACCTGTATATGAAATGTAGGAATTATGGTTAACACTCCTACTGTAGCTCCCATCAAACCATAGCATGTGTATCCTAGTTTCTAATAAGACAACCTGCTCCATTTCTTGCTTTTACTGTAAGCACATTCAGTTAAATCCTTAGATATCTAAGGATAAACTGCAGAAATAGCATAAGAGGAATCCTGAGAAAAGAAAAATACATATTTTTGCCTCCAGGGCTTAGTTCTTGAGGGGATATGTAGACATCTTTTGATGTTTATAGTTGAAGTGCTTTGTTTATCAAACATGGAAAATATACCCATGAAACCTTGTGGCAGGTGATTATTTACCTAAAGTTGCTTGTCATATTGTTGTGGTTTAACCCCAGTCAGCAACCAAGCCCACATAGCTGCTCATTCACTGCCCCACCATCAGGACAGGGGAGAGAATCAAAAGGATAAAAGCTAGAAAAGTCATGGGTTGAGATACTGACAGTTTAATAGGGAAAGCAAAAACCGTACACACAAACAAAGAAAACCAAGGTATCGATTCACTGCTTCCTATGGGAAGGCAGGTGTTCAGCCTCTCCAGGAGAGCAGGGCCCATCGCACATGTTTGGGAGGACAAACACCATCACTCTAAATGTCCCTTCCTCCTTCTTTCCTCGACTCTGTATACTAAGCATGATGTCATATGGTATGAAATGCCCCTTTGGTCAGTTTGGGTCACCTGTCTCACCTGTTTCCCCAGTCTCCTGGACAGGGTGTCAGTAGGAAAAGTAGAAAAGTCTTTGACTCTGTATAAGCCCTGCTCAGCAATAACAAAAACATCTCTGTATTATCAACCCTGCGTTCAGCACAAATCCAAAACAGAGACCCATATTAGTCACTGTGAAGAAAATTTACTCCAGCCAAAACCATCACATATACATACAAAATTAAGGGCTAATAAAAATTTTTTGCAAAGATATTTAAATACCTTTAAATGTTACCTTTCGCTGTCCTTGAGGTGCCTGGAAGTGGTCTTATACTAGACAGTGTAAGAAAAAAATCTTTTAAAGACACTGAAACAAAAGTATTCATTAAAATTCTATAAAGTATTGTTCAAAATTTTATATCATAAGTTAATCATTGTACACTGGTGTATGCCTTTTTTTGGACATACAAAATTCTACTTGAGAAGTATTGTTTTGAAAAAACACCATTTGTATACATGCAAAAAGTAGTATAAAGATACATTTGTTTATATTTTCATGTATACCAATATAGATATAGTGTTCAAATACTTTGAAAACATTCAAATGTATGTGTATATGTATGTATATATATGTATATATATATGTATAGATATGCAGCTGTATATGTATATATATGTGAATATATATATGTGTGTCTGTGTGTGTGGCTTTTATCTTCCTTTGATAAATTTTAAACATTAATTATACCCATCATATATGAAAATGATCAAGTTTTTTCCTTATTATGTAGTAAAAAAAAAAGTGAAAATGAGAAGAAAAACAATTTCCTTCTTTTCCTGCCTTTCTATCATTCACTGCTACCAGTAAATAGCAGAGAAACAATTATAGGCTTGAGAGAGAGAAAAAAAAATATAAGAAAATCAAGCTGCAAAGACTGAACATGAGGAAAAACTTGTTTGCTGTTATGAAGATATACAGAAAAACAAAGACAGGAACTTGGACAAAATTGAAGAGCAGAAGGCTAAAGAAATAGTCAGGAATGGATGAAAAAATAACAATTTCAGAGAAAACCTCAGGGCAGCTGGATACAAGACATTCAAATGAGGTGAGGTGGGTGTTTTGAAAAATTAGGAAAGAGGAGAGTTTGAACTATTTTGCTTCATGAATGGATTTTCATAATTCATATTTTTCTGTTGATTTTGAAGGAGGGTATTACTTGGTAAACGATGTAATACCTTGTAAGTTCATGAGATCAGTGTTGGCTATCTCTAATCCTTGTAAGTAAATATGAATACCAGAAAACATTAGAAGTACATATTGTACATATTGCACATATTGTATTTCCCTGTTCTGCTAATGAAGACATTATTTTAATACTTTTCAGATTCTCAGTAGACATTTTAGGGTTTTTTTTGATGTACGAATACTTTTATGACAGTGAACAACAGAACTTCCTTCATGCCCCTACTCCCTCTTTCTAGAAATAGGAGAGACCAAATAGTACTGCAGTTGAGTACTGTTGTGGGGTCAGACTTTTGTCACAGTTGTCTTTAAATAAAGTTTGTCATTTCATAAACAGAAGTTTGACTTCTGGCAGATAGCAAGTTATTACTTCTGTCTTCACCATCTGCTCTATGAAATATATATCTATATCCAAAGGGAATGTAAATAATCACTCTCCTTGAATAAAGAAATATTTCTACTTATTACCTATCTGCCTCAAAGGAAATAGCAAAGTTCCTGATGAAATTTAGCAAAGTAAAATATTAGAAGGAATGAAATCAATCTAAAAATTACTATTATTCTTATGTTTTCCTTTGAACATAACAAAATCCTTTTCAAAATCATCTTTTGAAGTACATACTTTAAAAAACTATTGAGAGACTAAGGGTATCCCTATTCTATATATTCTTCAGTCAGTTTGACTTAACATTGATCATCTTTCTTGCAATTATCTGTTTTCAAGAAAAGCTTGATATGAAACTGAACAACCTGAGGAAGACTATTAGCCCTTAATAACTAATCAGATTTGTTTCCAAGGAATGTTTTGTGATTGCTTTTATTAATTATTAAAACCAGTGATAAGATTTAGAGTATTTTTTGATTTTCTTTTTACTTTCTCTTGTTCTAGTCAGGGTAGCAATGATGTGATCTATCCAAGAAGTGTTTAGTCTCCGCTATTTGGATTCTTTAGACTGAACTCAGTTGCCCAAAGCTGTAAAATGCTTTTTTAGACCCTCCATAATATCACAGAATCATAGAACAGGTAAGGGTGAAAAGTACCACTGGAGATCATCTAGTCCAACCCCACCTTGTCAAGCAGGGTTCCCTGGAGCATGTTACCCAAGATTTTGTCTAGATATCTTTTAAATATCTGCAGAGAAGAGACTCTACAACCTCTTTGGGTAGCCTGTTTCAGTGCTCTGTCATCCTCACAATAAAGAAATTCTTTCTCGTGTTCTATTGGAACTGTCTGTGTTCCAGTTTCTGCCCATTGCCTCTTGTCTATTGCTCAGCACCACTGAGAAGAGTCTGGCTCCATCTTCTTGACATTCTTCTTTCAGGTACTTGCATGCATTGACAAGATCCCCTCTCAATCTTCTCAAGGCTGAAGAGGGCCAACTCACTCAGCCTTTCCTCATAAGAGATATGCTTGAATATCCTTATTGTAGTCATAGCCCTCTTCTGGACCCACTGCAGCAGCTCCATGTCTCTTTTGTGCTGAGGATCCCAGAGCTGTTCACAGTATTGCAGGTGAGGCCTTACCAGGGCTGAGTAGAAGAGAAGGATCTCTTCCCTCTACCTGCTGCAGTTCCTCCCAGGATATCATTGGCCTTCTTGACCACAAGGACACACTAGTGGCTTATGGATAGCTTATTATCCACCACAACTCCCAGGTCCTTCTCCACAGAACTACTTTCAAGTAGGTTGGCCTCCAACCTGTACTGGTGCAGGAGGGTATTCTTCCCCGTGTGCCATTATTGAATTTCAGATTCAGGAGATTCTCTGTGCATCTCTCCTGTCAAGGTCTTTCTGAAGATCTGCACAGTACTGTGGGGTATTGGCCACTCCTGACAGCTTTGTGTCATCCACAAACTTGAAGGTGTACTCTGTCCCTTTATCCAAGCCACTGATGAATAAGTTAAACAAGACTGGACCCAGTATTGACCCTTGGAGGGCACCACTAATTACAGCACTCCAACTAGAATCTATGTAGCCGATCACAACCCTCTGAGACCCTCATTCAACCAGTTCTCAATTCACCTTACAGTCCACTCTTCCAGCTTGCACTTCCTAAGTTCTTAGCTTAAATTCCAGATGCCCCTCCAGAATGGTATAGACATAAAGCCCTTAAATCATATCATAGAATGCTTTGTGTTCAAAGCGACCTTAAAGACCATCTAGTTCCAAACCCCCTGCCATGGGCGGGGCCACCGTTCACTGGACTAGGTTGCTTAGAGCCCTATCCAACCTGGCCTTGAACACTTCCAGGGATAGAGTATCCACCAATTCTCTAGGCAACCTGTTCAAGTCTCTCACCACCCTTACAGTAAAGAATTTCTTCTTAATATCTAGTCTAAACCTACCTTCTTTCAGTTTGTACACCTATGCGCTTGTGAAAAGTCTCTCTCCTGCTCTCTTGTAAGCCCCCTTCAAGCATCAAAATGTTTCACATTTCTCCTTCACTTCTCCAGGCTGAATAAACCCAGCTCTCTCAGCTTGTCCTTATACGAGAGGTGCTCCAGCCCCCTGATAATCTTTGTCTCCCTCCTCTGAACTTCCTCCAATATTCCTCCATTACAGTTGTCAAACCCACAGAATTGTCTTGGTTGTCCCAGGACAAAACTGGTGGCAAAGGGGCATATTAATTAGCAGCAAACTGAAGTCTTTTTGCTACTCTGGTAGCAAACTAATGTTCTAATGAAACAACAATGAAATAGCAATGATCACCTAAGCACAGGTAATCTTTACCAATCCAATAGAAATATGTTAGGTCCAGGATGATAAAGGACACTGAAATGCCTTACCCTATATTCTACACAATTTTCAATGCTTATGAAGAATCTATCAGAACTCTGAGTGTGCCAACAAGGTCTGATGGCCCCGACCAGGCTGCAAAGACCTTTCTCTGTAATTCTGCTCTATAATGGCTGCCCTCTACCAGAAGTTTGGTTGCCAGTGTTCAGGGTCATCTCTGATGTACTGCAACTGTGTAAGCCTGGATCAGACTGCTCGGACAATCATAGCATCGTATAAAAGGAGCAGCAAGAACACACATCTGGGATCCCCAGCCATGTGTCCTCTACCAATGGCCACAGGGGTTGCATTTAAGTCCAGGTTCTCCGTTCTTGCCTGCCCCTTGTCACCAGGAGGCTATATCTGGCTTTGCGCCCTGCTGATCCTGAAGCTATTACATAAAGTGGTGTGTCTTGGAGCACAGTTGTTGCTATAGCTCTCAAGGATAAACTTCCATAAGTTCTCAAGGTGATTTTGATTTCCAGATAATGATTTTCATTGATAAGGAGCAATTATTCTAGAGGTCTTTGTAGTTTTTTGTGTTGCTGCCCCTTTCCTCACCCCCCACCCCCCGCCTTAGACTATATTTTTCTCTGTCTGTCAAATATATATGGAGTGAATTTTGTTCCAATGAATTAAAGCTATGTTTTCTGGATATAAATCATCTTCTCATGCACAAATTAACTCCTTATTTCTGTTAATATATACGAGGAATGTAATGGATAGTGAAGTGTCATTTTGGAAATATAAAACTATTTAAAAACTAAAGTTAAAACAATCAATCTTTTTCACCAAACTTTCAAGGATAACTGTGCTTTTCCTATCATACAGTCCATTCAGCAAGGAAATAGAGACTTAGTTCATGTGTATAAATTGTCAAAAATAAAACCAAAAAACCCAAATCCCGATTTAAGAAAAAAAAAACTTATTCAAAATTTTATTTATTGTTCAACGGATACAGTAGTTAGTTTACACAATGCATGATGGAATTTAAGAAGTTATAAGACATTATAACAAAGACATTATAATAAAGATTTTTAAGAAAGCCCTAGCACTGAGCTATTTCATCTGACTCACTCTTAGGGAGAAAAAAAAAAGAAAAAAAACCCAGATTCTCTAGTGTAGAAAACCCTCTACCAATTCTACTCTAATTTTCATCAGAAACAGTCACTGAAATATAGCAAATGTATTATTAAAAAATAAAAAATAAATATCTTCCAAAATGAATAACCCAATTGTGAGGAACATGATTCACCCTTTTCGTTCCTTTTATGGATTACATGCTTAATAAATAAGAGAATAAATGCAACTTCTTATTTAATGTTATGAATTCAGTGTTCTCATAAAAATAAGGTGACTCCCTACTCCACTCCCCTTTCATCTACTTAATAATTTGCAGGCTCACTTTAGTTCAAAATTTGTTTAAGCCACACTTTTTCTGATTTTTCTATGAAGATTATCAGAAAATGATTCTGCAACTACTATAGATGAAAACCTTAAACCTTCAAAATGTTCTTCAAAAATTAGTTTTCTTTTTTAGAAGGAGGGGTAAAAAAAACAAGCAACATTGATTTTCTCCGGTGTGAGTCCTTCCCTTCCCACCACCTACAGTTTTTCATTAACTGCTCCAGAATGAGTCTCTGCAGGGGGACAGCCTGCCTCATATGGTGTTCCATCACAGGCTAACATGGAATCTCTCCTCTAGCACCTGCAGTACCTTCTTCTTCTCCTTCTTTGTGACTTTGGTGCCTGCAGGGGTGTTTCTACCACATATTCTCAGGTTGACTCTCTTTGAAAGGAGAAGCTTCTAGCAGGTTCTCAGAGAAGCCCACCCATGAAGACTTCCCCATCTCTGCAAATTTTGCCACACAAACCCAATACAAGGTTAAAGTTTACTCTCCTGAAATTCAGAGTTGTGTCCCTGTTTTTGTACTGCTTCCTCCTTTTAGGATCATGAATTCCACCTTCTCAGCCAAGGCTGCCCTCAGATTTAAATCCACAACTGATTCTTCCTCATTCAGGTTCAGGTAAGAACCTCTCCTTGTCAGTTTCTTGATCAACTTTGTCAGGAAATTGTCATCAATGCAATCACAGATTGCTTGTGCACCGATACGTAGTCATTTTAGCAAATTTCGAGGTGGTAAAAATTCTCTGTGAGGACCAGGACCAGTCACTGTGGGGTTTCTATTGTTTAAAGAAGGATTTATGTGCTTCTTCTTCCTAATAAGGAGCTGCATTGCAGGTAAACTACAACGACCATGTTGATTTGGGCACTAATCTTGACCCATAAGATCTCAACTGACTCTTAATCTGTCTAAAGGCAGAGTTCCATGCATTCCCACATTTCTTGTGCAGAATGTGCAACTCCCCCTACTCCATTACCAGATCTGATCTCCCCGAAGAACCTGTATCAATCCATTGTAATTCTCCAGTGATGTGAAACATGACCATATTTAGTTATTAAGTTGTTTCTAAATTAAAAATATTCTTTCCTTTATGTACCTTAAGCTTGATAAATTTTAGCAATTTTTGATTGAATTCTGATCAAGTGAAAGAGTGTATAAAATGTAAGTTTTGTCAAAACTAACTGCAAATTATGGGAGAAAAAAAGATGACAATTACTTAGAATTCTATCACTTTTGAGGTTTTTTGGTTCGCTTGGAAATATCTCACCACCCCAAAGGACTCAATTCTGTAATCCCAATGCCCATACAAAAGTGGTAGACATGAACCCGATACATTTACACCTCTTCGAAGAATCAACAATATATATTCCTTGTTTCTTGCTTCTCAACTCATATTCATGCAGGTGAATATTCAAACTTTAGAAATCAAACACAGGAAGGAAGTCTATAGTTATGTGTCTTAGATTTCTAATCTATATTGCTGAAAGTATTTTACTTTTCTACTTGTGACTATGTACTTCTTAGAACCACAATGTATTTCCTGGTAATAATAGCAGTATAACTGCTCACTCAGCAACCATACCTTTCTAATTCTTTTGAAAGAGTAACATTCATTCAAATGAATAGAAGACCTGAAGAAAAAGTCAAACTATACAGCATCACCATTTGAATCCTAAATAAATAAATAAATCCTAAAAGAAAAATTTTTTCTTTAGTAGCAAAGGAAACATGGTAATATTATTTATGATAGTCAAACAAGCAATTAACTTGACTCAGGATAGTTATATTCAATATATAAAAATATTTTTGTGCAGTCTGTTATGAATCACTGCTATGGAAAATGTCAAACCTAAGAAAATATTCTAGTAGATTAGAGAAACAGGAAATATTGCAGTTTTCAAATACCATCCTGAAAGTTTTACATGCTTTGAATTTGGAACATAAAATCTTACCTGAAGAATTGAAATCTATTTTATAAAAATAGCAATTTAATAAAACTACTGCTGAGAATAGGTTTTTTTATAATAAAGTGAGATTTATATAAACTGCTAAATTAATTTCAAAGACTATAGTTAATTTTCTGAATGTACTGGAATACATACAGTATTTGACAAGGGGAATCTAATTAAGATGAAATATCATTTGAATACTGTTTTAATCTTACTTATCTCAATCAGGTATGTATTAACACATCCTTTCATTTACATTTCAGGCATTGATTTCATATGCAGTTTCTCACAATGAATGATGACATACTGAGAGTAAGAGAGTGTAGCTTTGCTGCATTCTTACCTATTGTCATATTCACAATAAGCAAAAACTTGATTTTTTCATACAGTGAGAACAGAGGTATAAAATATCTTTAGAGTATATTTCACAACAATTTCTTCTCGGCAATTCAAAAACCTGTTTTCTTGTTCCTTTCTTGTTAAAAATCAGTAACATTTTTCTTAGTCTCTCTAATTTGTAGTGTTTAGTGTTGATTAAGTAACTTCAGAATTTTAGAGTTATGATTATTTTTATTAGTTTTATAGAGATTCATATTTTTCTTTTAGGACAACTATGGTTAGAAAAAATATTAGAAAATTTTCTAGAGCTGATTTCAGTGAAAAAAATGGTAAAGTCAGAACCAGTGTATTAAATGTAAATATTTAAATAAATATGTTTTGGAATATGCATGATCTTTTAATTAGTAGCGGAAGTTCACAGGCTATTTATTTACCTGACAGTACATAGTGTCAGGATCTGTCTTGTGTGGATCTGATTTTAATTTCTTTTAGCAGCTCACATTCCACCACAAAGAATTCTGTTCTTTGCTGTCTTTTTGTTACCCGAGTCCCAATGTGTTCAAGTAAGACTAACACAGGTGAATTTGGGACCAAAAGAGCATTGCAAGTGTGAGCATAACACAAAGGGAGAGAGTTAGATGCTAGGAAGTTTGTGTTTAAAAATTTTGATGGTTTTAGTAGTGGAGTGTTTCTATTAAAACTAGAAAAAATCAGGTATGAATGGAAGTAACGTTGTAACTAAACTAGTGAGTTTGTTGTAGGTTTGATTCCTATAGTATTAGTTGGACTAACAATAAAATTTTATTGCTTCCTTATGCCCCAACAGTATTCTGAGTATAATTTCAGACTAATCCAAAATGGGGACAGTCAATTACCATAGAATCATGGAGTATCCTCATGATCCTGTATTTCTCTGGCACATTGGTCCAGGTCTGATTTGATCCCATAAGTTCTCTGAGAGCATGATGGTGTTAGTTTATGTTTGGTTGGTTTTTTGGGGTTTTTTACTATTCTTTAAGAATAAATAATGTATAACAAAAATTGTTCTTGATTGCAGTTTTATATTTTGTTGTTCTGTTCTGTAAACAGAACAAGCTAATGTGAAAGACGTACACGGTCTCAAAGCTTACTGAAATAGTGATGGAAACCTTGGAAAACTTGATGAGGTCAAATTTACAAGTGGCACCAAACTACAGGGACAAAACAGGTGACAAGCAAAACAGTTGATAAATCCCTATTTCCAACTCTGAAAGTAGTATTTGAACAAAATGTATTATATATCAATTTTTTAATTGAACCTAAGAAGCAGTTTATATATTTTCTACAATCTGGGGAAAACTCTTTAGTAAAACATAAGTATTTTTAAAAGTATAAAAGAACACAAAGCCAAAAAAATCCATTATAAAAAGAATAACAAAACCAAAAGAGAAATACAATATGACTTGAATTTTTTATATTTGTTTTTCAGTCTACATTCCCTTGTAGTTTTTTGGTCCCTCATGGTAGGGGTCTCCTTTTTTTTTATTTTTTATTTTTTAATTTTTAATTTTCTTTTATTCTATTATTGTTCACTAGGGCAAAAAAGCCACTGAAGTAAAATAAAAGAGCTATTGACATCTTTTGGAACTCATATTATTCTCTCTATCTCCAGTTTAGAAATAAGAAAGCATTACAGAGTTTTAAAAAGGCTGGAATCAGAAATGATTGAGAAATAGAAATCAAAAGTTTTGCTTTATTCTTAACTCTTACAGTGTGCATAACTTCAGTACAGTTGGATAAAATACAGGACTAGAAAAGTTAGACACATAAAGGCACAACTTTCTAATATTGTGCTCAAAGGCACACCAGATAGGTTGGTTAATTACAAAATTTAATTATAGTCTCCATCTTACATTTTATTCCTTGAGACTTAAGCGACATTACATGAGCTCATCCATCATGTCATTCTTGCTCATCCTCCTTCCTAGGTTTTGTATATGAGATGAAATATCACTTAAAAAAAAATAAAAAAGGAAATTAAAACCTTTGACTAGATATATTTTATGCATAAGTAGAAAAACTGGGCAACTAGGACAGTGATAAACATCAGGAAAGAGTACAAGATAAACAAGAAAACTGAAATGATTCTCACAATTGATCTAGGAAGTCATTTATGCAAGGCAAAAACTTCTGAATAACAATGATAATAACTGAAAAAGCTTAGGTGCAGAAGGTGCAGAAACTCCACAAAATATGGTGATATGAATTCATAAATATTAAGATAACATCACCTTACAATTAAAAGGATAGCTAGAAAACTTTTTTTTATTTTTTACTTGAAATGTAATTTATAAGTAATCAAAGTAATAGCTGAAGAATAAACAGATATTGTCATGTAGAAGTTAAAACTGAATAAGAGAAAGACTAAAAGACTAGAATATTTGCTATAGAATCATTACGGTCTAAATGGTGAAACTTTTTAATTCTAAATTGAATCATTCCCATGCCTATAGAAGCTTGTGTTCATAGTGGTAAAAGTAAATAGTCTGAACTTTATCCTTCAATCTAGTGGGGTAATGAAGACAGATAGATTGCAGGAAATTAATTCCTGGAGATATTAAAAAAAAGATCTTAAGCATCTTGAAAAAAATCACAAAGTTGATGCTTCTTGAGTGGATAGTTGGAACAGATGACTTTCTGAGGTTCCTTCCGACATTAATTATTATATGTCTAGGATAACTAACACAACTATTTTATGTATAGGCGTAATTTAATAAAAATATAAAGAATATGTTTAAAATATTAAGAAACTCCAAATATATATGTTCCCATTGTGCTTTAAGTCTTTTTAGGGCTCTATTTAAAATGTCATTTATGACAGGGCAAAGACTTTCAGTATTTATTTACAGCTTTATGTATGACAGTATTTCTAGACTGCAGAATTAACACCAAACATTATGGTACAGTATTGCACAAAGCAGCAATGCTAGCTTATGTCCTAGAAACTAACTTATGTAGTGCTATGCCCAGAAAAATTGATCTGCACCGCTTTGCAGTGTATCTATCCTGTTTCTGGCTGTAGAATTTGTTCAGATCACAGCTAGTTCAGTGCATGGCACTGTTTCATGAAAGGTAGACCTACCTCCTGTATATTTGAACCTTTTTTGCTCAGGAAACAAGGCAACCTTAACCAGCTTTGAATTCTTAATGACAATATGAATTTACATTTAATTTAATTATAATATGTAAAGCAATACAGCAGACATTACAATTTCTCTTAATATAATAAAATGGATGATTGAAAGTCTTGCCATTGAATTTACTAGAATTGTGCTTCAATAAAAGTTGAAATTA